CACCCAGCACACACACTTTTTGCCCCACTCCCCTCAGGAAGGAGGTTAAGGAGCATTAAGTGTAGAACCACTAGACTGAGGAACAGCTTCTACCCTGAGGCTGTTAGACTCATGAATCTCTAACTAGAATAATCACTGTGAAAAACCATATCATGTTGCTGCTGATCTGTTTCATGTTGCTGCTGATCTGTTTAAATGTTGATGTGTTCATGCGTGCACATCTGCTCACAGACTCATGTTCATGTTTGTGCTGATGTTCAATGTTTTATGTTATGAGTGCTTAGTGTATATTTAGTTGATGTTTTTCTTAGTTCATATCTTAGATGTTATTACTGTTTTTCTTAGACATTTTATTGTTGGATGTAACTGGGACCTTGTGTACATAATTTCGCTCCACCACATGTACCACATGAGGTGCGAATGACAATAAAGAAACTCTGACTCTGACTCTGATATTTATTTATTTATTTATTCTTCTTTCTGCTGCTCCCTTCCTCAGGGGTCGCCACAGCAAACAGTCGCACGAAGACGTGGCAATTGTTTTTACGCCTGTAAAATGGACCTCTGTGGAGCAGAGGGCTGCCCTCTAGGGCACCCAGGGGAGCAGATGGTGAGGGTTAAGAGCCTTGCTCAAGGGCCCAGAGTGGGGAAATGAGGGTGAAGGCAGGAGTGGGTGTTTCACCTTTCCCACCCACATTTTTGATGTTGTTGGTATGGGGTGTTGAACCGGCGACCTTCCGATCACAGGCCCACCTTCTCTAACCTCTACACCACCACTCCCCTAAAAATAGCACCCAAGCATGAAAGTGCACTTTATAAAACTAGAGAAACTGCATTTTCTGTGAAATGACTGAGTGCTGAATAACCACGAAAAGGAGCAAAACGCCAACTAAAGGTAAAAGTACTAAAGGACTAGTTAAAACAGCAAAACAATAAATAGAAGGTAAAAATAATTTATGACGAGTCCAAAAAAAAATAAAAAATCTATAGGCAAAACCAGCAAAAAAGTAGCTAAAATAGCAAAATACTAACTAAAATTATCAAGACTAGCTAGAAAAATTACAAAAAGGATAGTTTAGTTGAAAATAATGAAAGGTTAGCTAAAAGAAACAGAATGATAATGGAAAAACTAAAAGCATAAAATAAAAACATTGAGTGAGCATGAAATTAAAAATATTTTGAAAAGTTACAAAATCTTCAAGTTATAGCACACATTTCCTGAATGAGCCAAATGTTCTAATATATGATTAAAATAGCACAAGGTATACAGAAGTAGTTGCCAATTTGTCTTGGAAAATAAAGCAGGAAAACAATAGTGTGAATGCTGATTCATTCACACTATTGTTGTATAATTAGGGCAATGGTCATAAATCCTAACACTGACTCACATAGTTGTCTCGTGATTTACACTTTGCTTTCTGTCTGTTAATAGAGATCAATAATAAATATAGTCCAACATTTGTTTAGGTTATGTGACATTACCAACACTTTTCTCTAAATTAATTCAAACTTTCCTATCAACAATCCATCTTTCTCTGGTAGATTATTGATGATCCTGTCTGATATTTTATACTGTTGGAATGAATCTGAGCTACAAACACAACAAGTGAGCAATATCAGGTGCACCTTGCATCATGCTTCCTCCCTTTGATGCAAAAATGTCCACCCTGCACATTCATGCTGACTGGACTGGACTGATGCAACACAGGGACGGAGTTTCTTCCTCCAATTTATCCAAACACAAACATCTGAGCAGTATTGATATTTTAAAGGATAAAGGATCACAATTAAATTTGGGTTTGGTTATTTAAATGTGTATTTTTGATCCTTTTTAGAAGCTTCTATAATCATTGTCTTTTTTTTCCTCATCCGTTCCAATGAAAGTTTGCCAAAAACTAATTAATATCTAATTAGTTGAAATTGTTGTCTTAAATTAAAGCAAATTTAAATGTTTTGAATCTCAAAAACCGATAAGAGAAAAAAAACATCTCAATCTTTGCTCCTTAAATGACATCGACTGAAACTTGCCACCTGTTTTCTATTATTCACACATTTATGTTGTCCTTGTTTAGAAATGTGTTGCTTATATATGTATACAAGTTTCATGATGGCAAAATAAAGATATGGGTTAATTTTCCTGCTTCTGTTTCAGTCTCATATTAACACTTCTTTATCACACTTCTTTTTAAGACGTGTTTTGAAACTAAAAGAAGGCAAAACGCTTCTTTATTTTGTTGTGTCTTTTTAATAAAGCTGCTTGTTTGGAGGGTAAAACCAGCGTTGATCTGTTTTTATCATAAAATTAATTTGGAGACTATGGTGGAATAACACGTATCATCATTTTTCATCATGTTAGACAAAAGAACCTGAGGCCTAATAGGAGCTTTTTTACGTGTATTATAACCGAATTATTTTAGTGCACAATGTTCTTATCGTCTGCTCCACTCTCCACTGGCGAGTTTTATCTTGGTTACATAAAGATAGATCATTATCCATCTGTAACAAAGTTGAGTCTGGCCAGGTTTGTCACATGTTCCCATGTTCCAATATCGGAACAACATTCAATTTATCAGAGTAATTATGTGAACACTGGCTTACACCAAACTTTTACAGTAGTCCAGTCCTTGTGAAAACCTTTTGTTTTCTTGTTTTAAACAAGTGCTATAATAAAAACACTGAAGATTTAAACGTGTTTATTAATAAATTTAGTGTTTTGCTTTCACATACCATGCAGTTTAAGAGCGTTTACGTTGACCTCTACCAACAAAATGGTTTGATAAAGTTAGGATTTTTGTTTTTTAAAGAAAAATAAGAGTGAATAGTTAAGATTATACAAAATTATAAGGTAAAATGAGAGTAAAAAAAATCAGTGCAGATTTAATGGTTATATAGATCCTCAAATTTTTGTGAAATGGCGATTCAAACCGAGTATGCAGATTTGTCACATGAGTTTTATAACTATTAGGCCTTACATTATTTCAGATGTCACCATTTATTTTGATGGACTGTACTTAAGCGCCTTTCTGTCTTATCAAGATACTCAAAGCACTTTACACTATTCCCTCATTTACCCATTCATACAGCACTCTATCTCTACAAAACTAATCTGAATATGTAGAGATTAATCAGTGCTTTATCACATTCACAAATCGGAGGCAATGAAGGGCTCCCCAGGGACACTTGGGCATGTGACTGCAGGTGGAATCGAACCCTCAACTCTCGCACTGGATGACGACTGCTCTAACCACTCAGTCACAGCCACCCTTGACCAAGTTGAATGCTACTTTATTAATTTATTAAAAGATGAAAAAAGAGACAAGAGTGTGGTTTCATTGTTTGTTATTTAAGGTTAAAAGTGCAACTTTTTTTTTTGAGCACGTGGTCGCAGTCATATTTTGCATTTGATTACGCAATCATGGTTACAGTGGAATGTTGTCCTACGATAGGCTCATTAATAAGCCCCTCCTTCTCTTGCGTCATGACGTGTCACTCTACGTTATAAAAAGTGAAGCACTGCGCCATTCAAGTCAGGTTTAAGGATCAATCCGCTGATAGAGCAGTGCGCGCAGACCAGCAATAACGCGGCAGACAATATTAGATCTAAAGTTAGCTTTTTACCAACACAACATTTATATTATTTGTGACAGTAACAACCGTAACAATGATGAACGGACAGATGAACGGTTTTCATAACTCTCTTATTGAGGAGGACTGCTTCTTGTTCACCTCAGAGTCGGTCGGAGAAGGACACCCCGGTAAGTCTCGACATGATGTCGGCCTTTTGTCATAACACGTTACTAAACTAGTGGCCTTCGTAGCAGTGTCTGTATGGTTTAAATAATTTTTTTTAGCTCCTCGCAGTGTAGATTTCACGGCGCCTTCTATGTATGTTACGAAAAGAGATGATTTGTGACGTTTACGGCCTTTGCTAATAATGGAGCTGGGCCGGTCTCCTGAGCACGCGCCGATTAGCTAACCTCGCCAATATAGCAAATCTCGCGGGCGCTTAAAGCTGGGGGACATGTTTGCTAACGTTATTTACTAACCATCACAATTTTCTAGCGAGAACAGCTTTTGAAATCGGGTAAATGCATCTGTAATTTTTATATTTTAAGCATTAGTGTTGCCTTCCGGTCCCCGGCTAGTTGCGCGCGCGCTTCATGTTCCATCACATGTGCTGTTGCAGAAATGGCGCATGTTATGAGACTGTGTCCTCCTGAACGTTCACCGGGCCGGTCGCGCTGCCGTTTCTTGTTTTGTTCTGCCCTGTTTTGACAGCAATTTGTGATTAATTTACTTATTTTGTTATTTTCAGATAAGATCTGTGACCAAATCAGTGATGCAATCCTAGACGCCCATCTCAAACAGGATCCTGACGCCAAGATTGCATGTGGTAATAAACTTGTCTTTTTTGTTTATTGCTGTGGTCATATGCAGCCATGAACACACTGTAGTGTTTGCCTCTTCCTGTACTTATAAATTATTTTGACTGATGCAGAAACTGTTGCCAAAACTGGGATGATCCTGCTGGCTGGGGAAGTGACATCACATGCTTCAGTGGATTATCAGAAAGTTGTGCGTGAAACAATCCGTCTAATTGGATATGATGACTCAGCGAAAGGTGCGGCATGTTGTTGAATTTCTGGTACAAACTCAATTTGATGGATTCATGTTTGGTATTGATTTGAGACCGTCTTCTGTACAGGGTTTGATTATAAGACCTGCAACGTACTTGTGGCCTTGGAACAGCAGTCTCCTGATATCGCTCAAGGTGTTCACATTGATCGTAATGAGGAGGACATTGGAGCTGGGGACCAGGTCAGTACTGACGGTAATGTAAATAAATAATAAATGAAAAGGTAATTGGTTTGCAATGTACTAAGTTGTAATCTGAACTCCTAATTTATCTCACTTTGTAGGGTTTGATGTTTGGATATGCAACCGATGAAACTGAAGAGTGCATGCCACTCACAATTATCCTTGCCCATAAGCTGAATGCCAAGATGGCTGAACTGCGACGCAACGGCACCCTCCCATGGCTCCGGCCAGACTCAAAGACACAGGTATAACAGTCATAATAGTGTCATTTATTGATAGTTTTATTTGTCACATTATTCCTGCTTTGTAATCGGTAGAGGCAGCTAAAAATGTGAGACTGGTCAGAGCATGAGACACATCGTCACTGCCTGCTAAATATTGTTTTTTAGTGGTTTGATTTTGACTCTGTTGTTTTTGCCTTTCTTGCAGGTGACCGTGCAGTATCGCCAGGACCGTGGTGCTATGCTCCCTGTGCGAGTGCACACAATTGTCATTTCTGTTCAGCATGATGAGGAAATCTGCCTTGAGGAGATGAGAGATGCTCTGAAGGAGAATGTCATAAAGACTGTTGTTCCTTCAGTATATTTGGATGATGACACCATTTACCATTTGCAGCCTAGCGGGCGGTTTGTCATTGGAGGTCCACAGGTAAATATCAGTGTGTAACTTTTAAGAGACTTATAACCTTCAGGTTACTTACCAGGCTAACTTCTGTTCAAACATTACAGGGAGATGCTGGCCTCACTGGACGTAAAATCATTGTAGATACCTATGGAGGCTGGGGAGCCCATGGTGGTGGAGCCTTCTCTGGGAAGGATTACACAAAGGTAGATCGCTCTGCTGCATATGCTGCTCGCTGGGTGGCCAAGTCTCTGGTCAAGGCTGGGCTCTGCAGAAGAGTGCTCGTTCAGGTGTGTAGTGTTATCAAAGTCTGTCGGTTTTCATTATGTAGCGAGGGGTTCCCAAAGGTTCCTACCTAATGTTTTTTGTATTTATGCTTGAAATAACCCATTTTTGTGCTATATCAGGTGTCCTATGCCATTGGAGTTGCCCATCCACTCTCCATTTCTATCTTCCACTACGGGACCTCCCAAAAGAGTGAGCGGGAACTGCTTGATATCGTGAGGAAGAACTTTGACCTCCGACCCGGAGTCATTGTCAGGTAAAGTTTAAAATGTGACGCTAAGTGAAACATCAGCTTCAAAAGGCCTCTTGTTATTGGTCCAGTGTTGTCCACGATTAAGTTAATAAATTATTTAGCTAGGCTTGTTGCTGGCACCTTGACATAATTTGATCAAAAGCTAAGTTATTGCTTCTATTAAAAAAATGTATAGTCATTAAACAAAAGGAGAGAGTTTTATTTATTCATTTATTTTTTAATTGAGGGTGAGAATGTTATGCATCTTGTAAAGAAAGATGAAAAAACTTAGGGAGAGGAGCATTTTGTAGAATGGATGAGGGTTCTTTTCTTCAAGTGATGGTGTCCTGTTGGTTGGACGGGTAGTGCTGAAGCATCATGGTTACATATACAAAAATCAGCGAGGTTCTTTATGGGTTTGACACTCCCACTGGCTTCTATGTGCTTTATTTTGAATGTATGTTGATGAGTATGACTGCTGCTAAAGATGTTGATTATGTATTCCAGGGAGCTGGAGCTGAAGAAACCCATTTATCAGAGGACCGCAGCCTATGGCCACTTTGGCCGAGACTCCTTCCCATGGGAGCTGCCCAAAAAGCTCAAATACTAAACCTGTTAAGCTTTTCCCCCAGGCTTGTTGGTGTATACTACAGAGAAGCCTCCAAGGTTCCAGGGGTGAAATGCACTTTTCTCTTCCTCTTTCTCTTTCTCTCATAATGATATGACACATGACTCCATCCTTGACTCCACCTCCATCTTTGTCTTGTGACTGTTTTTCTGCTGGTTGCGCAATTGTGCTGGGTCCTAGGAGGCATGCCTCAAACTTTAAATGTTTTTAAATTGGGTGGGTTCCATGAACTTGTGCCTGATTTGACTTCATGTTCCGCAGGCTTGCTGTTTCCCTGCATCTTGTTATAGTCAGAGTAGCTGCATTTGGTTGTTCTCCTTTGGCATTCCACTGCTCTCAGTGTCGTAAGTCATCAATTTGATGTCACTGCGGTAGCATATTTGGCAATATGCGATACCCTTAATTTTTTGGTGCTATTGAAATGAGTCGACATTACAACTAATATTTTGACAGTCCATTTAAATGTTTAGTTTCATAGCAGATTCCAATTTCCTGACAGTCTCCTGAAGTTCAGCTTTGTTTTAAACATTCCTCCTTTTCTGGGCTGGTACAAGTACCGGTATCTCTTGACCTAATGCTCTTGGTCTTTCTTTATTTCATCACCTTTATGGAGGATGGTTGAAAGGCACAAATAAAATTAAAGGGTTACTACTGTCTTTACTAAAATGCTATGCATTGCAGGCTAACTGGCAAGCCAAATCTGAATTATACAAGCTCAAATGAGCAAAGGGCCTCATGTGCCCCTACAGACCTTTGCTGTTTTCTGACGTAATACAGAAAAGTCAGAAGCTGCTATATCACTGCTCTGGTCTGCAGCGGGATTTGATATACTTGATGGTGATGGAAAATTTTGATTGTTTATGCATTGATACTCAATTATAAACTAGGTATTTTTTTAATGTCCCTTGTTTTTAACATGGTTCTGAAATGACAAAAGATTCTTGTGCTCCTTAAGTTTATTGATGGCAGGTGTAGCTACAGAGAAACCTGATTCCCATCTTTACCTTAAGGGAGTGTGCTCTTGGACACAGAGTCTTAATGGCCAGGAATTGAACCACAACACTATTTATTTGTTCTCTGAAACTTGGTGTGGATACAGAGAAGCTGATGTTTCAGAAGGCAGCTTTAAACAGTCTTGGTTATTGAATCTTGAATTTCAGTGTTTGGCTTGAGGCCCCAGAGTGTTGTACAGAAAAGCTTTGGTCTGCCTCAAGAAAGCATCACTGACAACTGTAATACTTTATTTTATCAGCTTTTTTTTTTTTTTTTTTTGGATTAGTTTTGAAATCCAATTAAAATACCTGGTGCAATTCTTGAGCTCTTACTTATCCTCACTGATGTGATGGCAACATTTGGCTGGTGTAGTACAGAGAAACCAGCCTGGTTTACACAGCCGTCTCATTGGTTGGATAATTTAAAGTTTTGGTTTTGTCCTCTTTAACCACTCAGAGGTCATCCCATGGGGTACAGTAAATGTAGGAGTGCCTTCTCTTTCCCTTCTTTTTTCCCCTCATTTGCTTTTCTTCTTTCACTAGTGTACATTCAGCTTCCAGAGAAACAAGTAGCTCCTACTGTAATGTGCTTCATGTCTAGACTGAGTAGTATTCCCAATGCTCTGTAATAAAAGGAAAAAAGCAACTCATTCCAAGTGCTTGGTCTCGTTTTTCTTGCAAGTTATTTGCATAAATCTTAATACTGGGTTTCTGTGCAGGCTTTAAAATGTGGAATAGGGTTTTAGCACTTTCCAGGTTCAGGATAAAAAATTAAAAAAATCAGTGGCATTTCCAGACTGTTCCCAGTCATTTTATTTTTCTTCTAAAAGACAAATCTTTTTACTACTTGAAGTACATCATTTTTTTTATACACCCGTCCAAAGCTGATGTGTCACGGTATAAGTCTCCATTTGAATATCCATAAACTTTTTTTTTAATTTTTTTTTATTCCACTCATAACTTCTGATCTGCTCAAGATATAACTAAACTTATCACTAAATAATGTTGTGAACACTTCACCAGACCAGCTTTGAGGTCACAAATCAGGGTCAAAATTACAACAAGGTCTTTGGTTATCCCACCCTTAACTTGTGATCCACTAAAGATAATTTTAATAACGCTTCATACACATGAACATCATCACTAGCAACATTCAGATGTTTTACAAGTTCTTTTGTTGTTTTCATCAAAATTGCCAGAATTTTTTTTTTTTAATCGAGTGAGGTGGTATGACGTTTCACATTGGCTAATGAACTGTTAAATCACAATGAAACTACTTCGTGGCACAAGTTTTGACAACGCCTAATTTGCATGCAAAAATAAATGCAGGCGTTTACACACCCAGTTTTAACTTGAAATGAATGCCAAACTGGATTAAACAGTCCAAAATCCCATCTAATTCTTGCTAATCTTTGACAGACTAGTTCTATAAAGTTCATGAGGTGTAATAAAATTCAAGCATTTCATGCTAAGAATCTTCAAATGATTTATTTAATTTGAAAGAAATTCAAATAACTACTCAAATTTTAAAGTTTTAAAATAGATTCTTGAAAAAATGTGAATTGTGCATTACATGCATGTGTTGCTTACTCCCAGACTTACTGGAGCATCACTTAATGTTTTCACTTAAAGTCTTGGTTGCATAAACAACCACTTTTGTAATCAGGTTTTATCTGTCACATTTTTAAAGTTCAATTGGTTGTTTTGAGTATCTCAAGTTAATCCTTAAAGATGTTGGAGGAAATGGATTAAAATGCTTGGTACTTAATTTGAATCGTTCTTTTTTTAATGATTTATCATAAATTTATCCAGTATTTCAAGGTCACTGGTGAACCTTTTGTTTAAACCTTATTTTAACTGGTTCTTCACATTACATGTGATTGCTGCAGGTTTAGTTTTTTTACATGTTCATTAACGGAACTCGTTTTACACCACACGTTATCGTGAACATGACTTTACCACACCACAATCATGTATATGCTTAATAAGACACATTCAGGGTTGTTGTGTGAGGGAATTCATGCTTTGGAGTTTGGATTATTTCCACGACTTACTGACGGGCCTATTGTGTACTGTTGGTGGTACTCTTGTTTAATTGTTTCAGTTAAACTATTTTTCTTTGTTACGTACAATTAACGCCCAGACAGTTCATTCAGTTTGTGTGAACTTTTAAGGTCAGCTGCTTTCTCAAGAAAAATTTTATCTGCTTAATGCAGATTTCACGTGGTCTGAAGTGACCTTTGGAATTTGAAAACACAGATTAGCCACATAGAAGCAGAAATGCTTACTCACTGGCCGTTTGACGGGGTTTTAGCAAGAACATTAGGTACCTGAAAACTTAATTGTTATAACCCATGCATAAAGAGATCTTGGAAATCATGGAATATAGACCATGGGAAATGTATTCTTTATTAATAAAGTAATGTGCTCAGACTAAGAAAACCAATGTTTTAAAAGGCATTTTCCAAAATTATATATATATATATGATAATTGATATTAAAGATCCAAAAGGTTTGTGTAAAGGTTCATGAAACCATCACCAGCAAGTATTTATCATTCTTCAAAAGCACAGGAGACTGTTTAATGAACTCATAAGCAGCTTCACTTAGAACAATAAACTGAGGTGCTCATGAGATAGAGTTCATGTAATTGTCATGATGACAGGATTATGATTGTGGGGACTGCAAAAGAAAGGTAAATTTACAGAAAAAAAGTAAAGGTTGCATATATATGAGTTAATGGAGGAAGAAGAATGGCACTTGCGCCTTGCTTTACTACACTTGTATACATAGTTACAGGAGATTCTTATATTATACCAAATGAGGAGGAAACTGAATTTGCTACAAAATCAAGTCATCTACATCAATGAACAAATTGATCAACACAAATGATAAAGGACAATAATTTGGAGAATAACTAATTTGAAACGTAATGAAGTGACAAACAGTAATGAAGAATATAAACAATCAAGGATTCTCTTATTTAAGGCAAAATGCTCACACAGACTCATGTTCGTGCTGCTGTTCAGCATATTTTTCTGTACTATTAGTAGCATATTCTTAGTTCATATCTTAGATCTTATTACTGTTTTTCTTTACAACATCTGTATACTTTTGTTGGATGTAACTGAGACCCTGTGTACACTATTTCGTTCCACCACATGTACCACATATGATGTGAATGACATATAAAACCTTGACCTTGAAAATGACCTAATTGAGCAGGAATTATTTTGGCTTTTAAATGCTCAGAAAATGTAGTCAAAGTTTAACTTTTTGATAAATAGTTTGCTTTGGAATTTGGTTGAGAGATGATATTTAATGTGACCAGATCAAGTCATTTATTTTCACTGCAAGCCAGGAAATGATTTATCAAGTTGCATCAGCTAAAATTGCATAACCAGACCCAAAGTTGCATTCATGTCAGTGGGTTTCAGCTCCTTACCAGGTCAACGTTGAGGGCTTGAGTTCACCCATCTTTCTGGGGGGTTTGCTAGCTGATCAGACCAGGATACATCACGAGGAGAGGACTAGTCAGGCTAGGCACTGCCCAAGCAGCCGAACGTCACTGTGACTGCTTCAGGGGTCGGTGTCTCAGATGATGAGAAGGTGTGCAGGTAATCGGTCACTTTCAGCTGCCTTACGCTGCCGAAAACGTGAGACTTGCAGTGAAAACAAAACATTGAACTCCTGTAGTTACTGAAACTACTTTGCTTCTAACAAAAATTGTAACTGAGCAATCTTGTTTTCTTTGCTCAGGAATAAACGAGACAGAACTCTCATAAGCGTTTTGGGGAATGCTGAAATATTCTGACTCCCCACTGACATACAGTAAGCATATTCTGGCTCAAATTACTTACATACAGGTGTCAAGGAAAGGTTCTTTTCTGAAAAACAGACCACAGAAGTATGTTAAAACACAATATTTGACATAATTTCATTATAACGATAACTAACAACCAAGATTATTCATGTTCATACCTGTCATAATCAAATAAACTTCATTAATGATTTTGTTTTTATTTTATAAAATCATTTTTAAAAAGAGTAAACGTTAGTCAGACTGTTGACTGAGTCCAAGGACAGTCAATACATGTGAAAACATCAGACATTATTCAAGTCAAAAGTAGCTCTGACTTTGAGTCAGAAGTCATGGGGAGCACATATTCATGCTATATATTCCCCCTCTAGGGAGTCGATACCAGTCCAGATGGCCATCGAGTCACTACAAACCAAATCCATGTGTCATGAGAAGAAACTTGGATAGGGTCCGCGTTGACACCCTGGTAACCATTGTGGACTAAGTCTTGAATAAAGTTGTGAGGTGTCCAATGTCACCCTCCTAAGTCCATCCATCTAATATCTTTAACTGCTTCCTCCTTTTTGGGTTGCAGGGGTGACTGGTGACCATGTCCAGCCCTGTGCGAGAGGCAGGGGACACCCTGGACAGGTCGCAGGTCCATCATAGGGACACAGAGACAAACAACCATTTTCTCATACTCAGAGACAATTGAGAGTTACTAATCAGTCTAACATGCATGGTTTTTGTCTGTGGGAGGAAACCGGTTAGCCGGGGAAAACCCACGCATGCACGAAGAGAACATGCAAACTCCACCCAGAAAGGCCACTGGCCAAGATTTGAACCAGGGTAACCTGCTCGGTGAGAGGCGGCAGCAATACCAACTGTGCCACCTAACCCCACCCCCCACCCAGTGCCATCCTTAGCAGCACTGAGTGGAAAACAATCCTGTAGGCAGAGCAATAAAACCGATGTGGAAACAGTCGATCCAAAGCAAAACCTAACAAAGGTCCTATCAACAAAGCAAACAGTCGATGCCATAGTGTTCCAAGTAGGTGTCAGAATGAAGATATCCAGCTTCAAGTGCCACCAGTTCAGTGGTGTAGTCTATGATATGCTGGTATATGGAGTATACCCAGTAGAAAAGCTTAACAATTTCAGTATACACACTTAAAAGTGCCCTATGATACATGACATATCATTAGGCACATGTCATTGACACGTTAAACGGCAGTTAAATGCTTCCGTAACTACCGGTATTAAGTGCTTGTTTATTACATCTGCTTATCCAGCAAATTATTGCATAATTAATACTTCTTTACTTACTACTTAACACTTGAACATGTTTTGATGTGATACGGTTTTATAAATTCTATAACATGTTTTAATACAAAGCCAACTGTTGTGCAAAGTCTTGTACATTTATTCAAATATAAGCATCAGAGAAATTTGGAAATGTTCAATATGCTTAAAAATCAAAATAAATTGACCATTACATTGTACTAACCAGTGTACTTTGGTTTCTAAGCACAGTATATGGACCGATGGTAAAGTTAGTTTTACGTTGGACATTCGCACTCCGTGGCTTCAACGATGTCCAACATAAAACTAACTTTACCGCAGTACACCCACTACAAAAATGTAGACTACACCACTGCACCAGTTGGCACTGTAGAATGAAGATGGTAGAGTATTCCCAGTGAATACTTATAACTCAAACAAGAACCAGGATGAAGAAAGCCCTGATATTATTGGAAAGGTTACCAAGGACTGGATCAGCAGGAGGGGCAGCACGACGGCACAGTTGGTAGAGCTGCTGCCTCAGTGAGCAGA